ACAAGGAGCGAGTGCTCATTTTCTCGTCTCGTGGAATTAACTTCAGAACAAGACACCTAATGCAAGATTTAAGAACGCTGATGCCTCACTCTAAAGCAGGTGGGGTTGGGCATCATCCCTGACACTTCCAGAGGGGTTTTAAACCAAGAACTTCTAATAACCCGCTGTCTTTGAAAATGTGGTGCCTAAGGGTTTTGGTGAAACTTTTTACCTTAAACAACCAACCACCAAACCTCTTCTATCCCAACAAGCACAGTGACTGTCATTGTGTCTTAATATTCTCTGGGAAGTTACTCCTGTGGCCTCATCCCTCTAAGTGCCCGGGTAATTTTGTCGTTATATTTATTTGTCACATAATGTGGCTGAAACAACTTGATGTTTATTCTTTGTCTTTCATACATGCCCAACAATTTTTTTTTTCTTTTTTGCAAAAGGACAGACTGTTAAAAGAATTCCTGTGCTAAACTGGTTTTTCAACCTACTAAGTATTGCTCTTGTCTTCCAGATACTAAAATGGACCGTAAAGACCAGTTGTTTGTGATTAATGAGGTAATCCAGGATTTAACTTAGCACTTCTTTTTTATTTTCTTTGGAAACCCAGTGTGCAAAAGAAAGGGGCAGCCAAGCTCAATGGATCTCACACTACTTACAGGAGTTGTGTAGCTTCATAAATTAAAATTACTGGTATAAAAAAATTGCTCGTGTTAAAAAAAGGAAGTTGACTTTTGATGAATTAAACCCAAATAAAACCTTTAATTAAACACAGACTTTTAAATAAACAAATAAAACCCAGTATGCTTTTCTGTATAGGTGAAATGTGTATTGCAGTTTGTACTTGAGGAAAACAGGGAACAAACATGCACCCAGGTCAGACAGTGTTAGGACATTGTTGGTTCTGAAACTAGAGCCTAACGTCACAGCTCCTGCTCTGATGTTTAAGTCATGGAGAGCTTACTGGATTGCTTGTAGGTTTAGTGAAATTTCACTAATCCTGGTGATAAATAATGTGAGATCTTTCAACAAAACAGGCACTTCAACTTAAGTTTGGGGATCAGCAAGAATAATTTATTAAGACAAGACCTTTGTTTTTCAACTTAATGTTGGGGGGGTGAAAGATGTTAGAGATGAGAGGGGAAAGTTTTTGAAAGTGTCACGAGAATTTTGTAAACAGCTAATTTGACTTGTCTTGTGTAGGTGTGTGAAATGAAAAACTGCAATAAGTGCATCTTTTTTGAAGCCAAAAAGAAACAGGATCTCTATATGTGGTAAGTAAATGTTTTCTTACATTTCTGTGTCTGGGTGGGGGTGCAGCTCTTCTATCTAAAGTTTCTTACCATAACAGCCAAAATGCATGAAATGGTGTTTATTTATTTAAATCTGTACTAAACCTGCACTTCTGTGGCTACTGCAAATGTACAGTGCATGAAGAGGTTTTGGAGACTGTTTACAGAAGCATTTAAATAAAATTGTTGAGGGAGCAAGTATTTGTGTGAAAGAAACTCAGTAATGCTATAGAAGCAGCTGAAGTTACTTCAGTAGAGATGCAGCTGCTCAGAGCGTGCTGCAGAAATCCAGCACAGCTTCTGGCTGCTGTTAACATTTTTCTTTTCTCTCTTCCCCCTCACCTGTCCTCTGTAGGCTTTCAAATACACCACAGGGACCATCAGCTAAATTCTTAGTGCAGAATGGTAAGGTGCTTGACTTTATTGTGTTTGGACCATGTCTTCTTGTCTGTATAATTACCTGTAAGTACTAAATGATCTTTTGTTTTAAAAAAATCACTGTAGTTCACACGCTGGCTGAATTGAAGATGACAGGAAACTGCCTAAGGGGCTCACGGCCCCTTTTGTCTTTTGATCCAGTAAGTACAGGTTTTATTTCATGGAGTATGCTTTTGTTTTCTTTATATGACTATTGCATTTAGCTTGGTGTTTAAAATTACGTTTTTCCTTTTGTAGATATTCGACAAGGAGCCACACTATGCCCTGCTAAAAGAGTTGTTTATTCAGGTCAGTCTGCACTTCTGCTGCCAGCATTTCTGCCTTTTTGGAAATGCGGGGTTTTTTTGGCAACGTATTTAGAAATATCAAGGCTTTTTAAAGTAGTGGTTTTACACTTCTAAAATGGCAAAAAACCATTCAAAGGATTAGGGTCATGTGCTAAAAATCACTGGGACACTTGTTCTTAAGTTTTGAGTTTTGAAATGTAACTGGGGATTGGGATCTTAGTCAATGAAAATTAATTTAAAATGAATCATTTATGTTTGGCCTCATAAAATTACGGAAATGCTGCCTTTTGTTACAGATATTTGGCACACCACAGTATCACCCCAAAAGCCAGCCATTTGTAGATCATGTTTTCACCTTTACCATCACAGATGAGAGGATCTGGTTTCGGAATTACCAGGTTAGTGATCCCTTTTAGCTCTTCACCTGGTGCCCAGGGGGTAATTTTGTATCAAATCCATCAACCACAATGAAATGAGAAGAATCATTAGTGTCAGGATGAGCCAACACTTTTATGTTTGCTCAAAGTACTTTAATTGTCTCTGGACAGAGCTGGTTAAGTTCTGTGTACTTCAGCTGATGTTCTGTCAGGTGTGATTCTGTGGTGGTTGCCTTGGGAGCATGAAGGGGTCACCAAGGCCTAAGCTTCTCCTGTCTTTTAACCTTTACTTGGTGCCTTGGCCCAAGGTGCTCTGGAGCTTACTTTGTTAAGGAGGATTTCACAAATACCCAGTAATGTCTGACTGCCTGTTTGAGCCCAAAGGAACTGCTTTATATACAGAACTGTGTTCTAGAAGTCCAGCTTATCAGCATTGGTGGCATTGTGTCTTGGATTTCAATCCATCACTCTATACAAAGTGCCTTTGAGCTCACACACTTTGATTCAGTCCATAAGAGAGTGTTCTTTTTATTGCAGATAATTGAGGAAGATGCATCACTCGTAGAAATTGGACCTCGTTTTGTCTTGAACCTCATAAAAATCTTCCAAGGTAGTTTTGGAGGACCAACTCTGTATGAAAACCCTCATTACCAGTCTCCAAATATGGTAAGCAGCTGTGTATGTCTTCTTTTTCATTTAGCAACTAATCTGAAAACGGATCTTGCAGCTTGTCTGTGCAGGAGAATGGTGTTTGTCTTCCCTGGTACCCTCTGTAGAAAAACATGCCCTAACTGATCGCAGTCGGCGAACAGAGTCGTTTTGTAAAAACAGGATGAATGCAAAAACCATGTTACAGAAAAATTGGCATTTTTTTTTGAGCATTTGGACAGTTAAGCAGAGAAATTACCACCTGTTTCTTTTAATACCTGTTTTCTTCCGTCTTGCTTATTTGAAACCTGATGCAATTTCGATTCTTGTTTTACAGCATCGGCGGATGGTAAGATTGTCAGTGGCTGCTAAGTTTAGGGAGAAGCAGCAAGTGAAAGAAGTACAAAAGATAAAGAAAAAGGAGAGTAAGGTGCTCGTTGGTGAAGATCCCACTGAAGTGGTCTTTGAAACTCCAGCTGAAGAAAAGCCAGTGGAAATACAGCTGGTGAAACCAGAGTCAAAGCCAATTGTTAAAGATAAAAAGAAACTACGCAAAATTCAGAGGAAGAAGCAAAAAAAGCTTTTCAGAACTGAAGCATCAGCATAAATGTTATAAGCGATGAAACTAGATGTATTGGCATAATATTGTAAATACTTGTTTTTACAGGCAGAATTTACTGGACTTCAGTTTTAAGTAAAGAAAATAGCAATTTCTTTATTTGGATTGAGTTTGCATTCTTTCATTCCTCTCTTTGGGAGGATCCTGGGTTTTGAAAAACAACGCAGCAACAGGGAAGGGGGAGCAAGACATTGCAGATTATTATGCTTTTGAGAATTGGCCTCTTAGACTTGAATTCCTGTGGGAAACATCTCACTGTAACATGTACAAAGAATAAAAATAACTGGGTAGTCATTGGTGCTCATCATTAAGTGGAATTCAAATGTCAGCTTTCCTAGTCTGACAGTGGAAAGTCCCTTTAAAAGTCGTAACTTTATAGGATATTTATATGATATTTCTCCTGGGGAGTGATGTTACTGTTTTTTATTTCTCCTTATAACCCCCAGGGAATGCAAAGGGCTACGGCCTCTTAATTGTTTTGCTTTCTTTAATTAATGGTAAAAAAGCTGCTACTTTTGCCTGTGATAGCTCCTGTACCTAATGAAATTCTTAAGACCTGAAACTTATATATGGAGGATAATTCCTTTCAAATTCCCTGAAGGCAAGAGGCACGTGGTATGTGTGACCATATCTTAATATTAAAGCTAGATAATAAAGATGTATAGAGAGCTGGTATCTCTCACCCTCTTACAGCCACAGCTAGGTGTCCCTTGTCTCATTCCTCAACTTTTGAATGAATGACCCCTCGAGCAGGCAGCCCTGCTGGAGAGCAGGTCCAGCACACCTGGGAAAGTGCATCAAGCCCCCCTGTCAGAGATGGAACAAGACTCTTACACCATACAGGGGGTTAGCTGCTGTCATTTAACTACTCACCTGTACCTCCAAAATCTCTCACTGGAGAACAAAAGTGGAGAAACCCAAGGAGGCTCTTCTATCACCAAGCAAACTCTTTGTCTGTTTCACCTCCGTTTTGGGCCTGTGGGTGGGTCATATTGGGCTCCGTGTCCTTCAGCACCGCCGAGCAGCTGGAGCTACAGACACCAGCCCCACCTCCGCCTGCCCTGCA